TTAAGGTACTTCCTCAGTGAGTTATACTTGGTGAAAATTTCGCAATGAACTGAAGACCTAAAATTTGGATCATATGTTGTTGAGGACATGTAAAAAGGACTCCCAAAAATTTCAAGTATTTTTTCCACTCGAATTTTTGAGATATCCATCGTCAAACATTCAATTTTTGTCTTTTTTAAGTTTTTGTCGATGCATATCTCAAAAATTGGCGTGGAAAAAATACTTGGAATTTTGGGAATCGTTTTCACATGTGCTCAACAACATATGATCCAAATTTTAGGTCTTCAGTTCATTGCTAAATTTTCACCAAGTATAACTCACTGAGGAAGTACCTTAATATCTCTCCAAAAAGGTCTGAGATTTATCTGTGAATCGCAAACTTTAGGAGATATCTGCAGAATTAATCGCCATTATATTTTTAGACTGTTCTTCCTCTTCTCGCATATCATTTGAATACAAAATAATCAATAGTTAAATATTCAATTCGTTCATTATTTTCTCACCCGATGGATAACACACGGAATTGATTGATAACCGTCGAATTGGAATTACTCTGTGGCTCAAGTAGTTCAATGACAGCATGGGCGTACTTTCTATCATTATCGTCATGAGTATTCACATCAAGTTTTTTCAATTTGACAGAAAGCACGTCGCTAAATCCTCTTAAATGAACATAATGTCGAGTATTTGTTCCAGTTAATTTCAAAAGTGAGGATTTGGAAACTGGTGAGATCGTGGAAACTCCCCTTGGAATCCAATTCAAGCTAGTGTCAGGGATGATTACTCCTCTAGATGTGCTAGAATCGTCTAGAGAGTATAGATCAATGTGGATCGTTGATGAATCTGACGTCGTTTTGGGTATTCTCACCACAATATGTGTCAGTTCCTCATTTGATCGTACATACTTCAGATCTAAGTCAACAGTTTTCTTCAGGTCTCTTTTAAACGTTGGAATAACTCTCGTTTGGTTAGTCAGGTTCCATCCCCATTTGCAGGATTTAAATCGATCATGAGAAGCAGAACATGTGAAGAGCCAGTCTTGCACTTCCAGATCAATTGCATCGATACCGAGATGAGTGAAGTTTTGATCAATTGGAATCATCAAGTAAATTTGTGATGAATCTGATTTTTTTTTGTTTTTATCGTTGAGTTCTCTGAACGTATACTGTTCTTCCGTAATTTCAATCCATTCTCCAGGGGAATGAAACGTTACTTTCTCGTGGTAATGAGTCAAATATTTATTTGCGTATCTCTGAAAGAGAAAAATTTTTACATCAAATGAGAAACCACATCTACGGTTTTGTGGACTTTTGATGAGGGATTATTTCAAAAAGATTTTTTTCGGTTTTCATATAGTTTGTTTCGTAGACTTTACTCTCCGCCTCTTACATTCTGGTAAATATGAAATCATTCAAATGGGTGAATTTAGGAGAAAATATCAAAAAGATTTTTTTTTATATCTAAATACGCATTATCGCAAAGTATGGTTGATCAATTATCCACCGAAAAAACTTCAGAATCGGGAATTAATGATTTTTTTTCGTCACTGCGGAAATTTTAGTGCAGCACTTTTTCCCTTTTTTGAGATTGTTGCGCCCAGAGATGCGTTTGAATCGGATAAAACTTGTCATTTAAAAGTTTTTTTATGTATTTCATAAATTTGCCTATCCAAAACTAAGAAACTCATGTATTTATTTCAATGAAAAAGTTTCAATTATATTATACAAATAAATTTTCTATTAGAATAAGCTTTTGTTAAATCTAAATGAAGGATCATTGCATATTGATAAATTTGTTCCGTTCACCGTCTAGACAATGATTCCACTTTTAACTAACAAAGTTATTATTTGGATCAAAACAACATTTGTTTATAGTGAAAATAAAACTATTTATTTAACTTGAATATAAACGCAAAAAAAATAAAGTCTAAGTATGAATAAATGCATTCATTCAATCAAAAAGTGATTAAATTTTCACTTACATTCGTGAGATGATAATTAAAGGCCTGCAATCGTTTATCATGATCATTGGAGATGATGGCATTTCCCTCTGAAATATCAACAGAATCGAAAAGTGCCCGTACGAGTGGAATGACAAATTGTCTGCACCACAAAATCGACAGGTGATCAAGCGCCTTCCAGCAGTCGGGTACTGCGCTGCCGATGAGACTAAGGTCGGCATGAGGATCGATCATTTGAGCAGTAGTAACCACAATGTCTCTCGAACCTCCTCCAATGGAAATAATAGAGGTTTCCAGCTTCTTCAGATCCATTGCACGATTATTCACTTCATGATAAAAGTCACATGTCGTCTTGTCGAAGGCAATTCGAGGAATGTGAGGAGTTGCCAGTGTGATTAGAAGACTGGCCAACGTTTTGTTGTCGGGATTGTTATGTAATAATGCTGCTTTTGCTACAATCCCTCCCTAGAAGATAAATTTTAAAAAATATGAAAAATATAAATAAATATTTTTAAATATTTAAATAAATGTTTAGGGATTAATGATTGAAGAGGGGGAAAAATCGAGGAGACTAATTTTGAATTTGTAAGATCATTCGTATCTTTGCTTTAAAAATAGATGTCTCTATTTTCACATCAACACTGGCAATCCTTGAACTAAAAATTATTCAATTGAATTGCATGATTCCATAATCGGAGGAATTGGTAGAATGAACTTTCCCCGTCATAGAATCGAAAAATGGGCTAATTGAGAATTACTTAATTCTCATTAACAGTCCATATTTCCTTTGGTAATGAAAACCTTTTCCATTTTCTGAATCAACGATCAAAAATTCATATTCGTAAATATATAATATCAACTTTAACAAATTTTGGTTCTTTACTAAAAAAAATCTTCATTCAAACTCGCTGTTCCCTGAAAGTTATGAGATTGAAGAAATTGATCGATTTACCATTGAATGTCCAATGAGTACAATCTTCTCAGTCTTCTTCTTATAGAGTTTCAAAATTCGTTGAATGCTTTCAGCAACGAATGCAGTTTGATCTGCAAGCACCCCTGAAAAATACATCGAAATCTATTAATCAAAATACCCCAATTTCTGTTTCAAAAATGTGATTTTGTATTTTATTACCTCCGTAAAGTGCAGAGTATCCTTCAGCCAAAGATACCGAAAAGTAGTCAAAATGATACGAAGTTCTTTGTTTCAGGCCCAGTCGGAGGCTCACTGAGGCCAACGATCTGACTGCAAAACAGTAGAAGATGGTCTTATAAATTTTCCCACGATATTTGGACATTTTTTCAATAAACAACAGATACAACATACAATATCCATCATTATCAAAGAATCGTTAGTCTATATGCTGAGCTAAGGTGTTCAAGAATCAAATGAGATTGGATCTCACATTGGTCTCTCTTTTGATCTCTATCCCTTAGGGCAGAATTCATTTTATTTGTAAAAACCATCGGTGAACAATACTTACAGAGGAGACTTCGTAATACTCTGTATTATTGTAATTGTTGAAAAAAATGATATTTCTAATTGTGAAATTATATTAATTGGCCTAGCGGTCGTCAGTGAAAAGAAAAAACAATAAAAGTCAAATTTTTGTTGTCAACGTTTCGATCTCCAGTAGAGATCCTCTTCAGGACAACAACTCAATCTTTATTCATTTCCTGCAAAACAAACCTCAATTTAAATTTCAACACCCTTTCAGTGCATGTAAAGGATAAAAACCCCGTTATGAAAATCAGAACTCACAAATGGTGTTATTTTACGTTATGATGTTGCACTTTTAATTTATGAGTTCTGACGTCAACAGGCCAATTAAGATAATTTTATAATTATTATCATACGGTCGAAGAATATAATCATTGAAATTATACTTTTAATTGTTTTAATTTAATTTTATATTTTTCTTTTTACTGGGTTTCCCAAGATTTTTCATTGAGAACTTATATTTCACTTTGTAACATGCACACTATCACGACTATTGCATTACAAACTTCCCTCGGTGTTTCATTTTTTTCCTTAATAATAGGATTTCAGAGGTTACATTATTGAGAGTCTGTAATAGTTTTGGAACAACAACTCTTAATCATAATATAGAATATCCTAATTTGCTTCAATTATGAGCAATGTCGGGTTGATGGAAAGTAGTTCTATCCTTGTTAACCGTTCCATTTAGACTATACTATAGATTTGAATACTTTCAATTCTCCATTTTTTTAAATAAAGTTGTATGGGGAAGTTTTAAAAGAATTTATGCCTCAGCAGAATCGTCCAAATTACGTTTTTTAATATATTAGTATTTTATAAAAATTATTTTTCGATAAGAAAACAACTTGTTATATCTTAGGAACTACTGGACCGATCAAGCTGAAACAACGCGCCAAAGTTCAGCTTAATGTTAGCTACAATGAGCCAAAATTTGATATTTTTATGTACAAATTTCACCGTATTACATAATAATAATCTGATAAAATTTTTCATCGCCGATTTGAATTCTTTGCTATTTTTGATGTATTCTATGGAAATGTGAGGATAGGAATTGAATTTACGGTTATTGGTTCATCATTCGAAAAGATATATCAATTTTAAAATTTTCCCTAGACATTGAAAAATTAAAAACTCTCTTTTCGTGTTGATCTCGTTTCTCTTCCTTTTTTCATTTTCTTCCATCAGAATTAGATAATAGAAAGACAATAACATTGGTTTTTCTTCATTATTGAAAAAAAAAACGTTTTGAAATTTTCAAAATTGACAAATCGATTTTTTAAATTTATTTCTGATTTTCCTTCCCTACCTTTTCCGTATTTCTTGTTTCTGTGAACGGAATACGATCAGAGAAATTAAAAATCATAATCCCCCTTCATTTTTTAAGAAGAAAAAAAACTATTTGAAAAATTTCGAAACGACGTAAAAAATCGATTTTTTCATTTTATTGATACTGATTGGTGATGATCGATCTCTCTTTGCAATTTCCTTCTTCGGTTCCATTGAAATGAAATTAAAGGGTTGTGAAATGTTCACATTCGTTCACTTTTTCAGATGATTGGTACTAATTAATTTAAAGAAAAAGAAAGAAATGAAAAATTTTAGGCATGATTATCGCACATTGTTTGTCAATCTGTATTCTCATGTCATTTATGAGGAATTCCTCTTCATTCAATGTTGTAACTTGTGAAATGGGAAGAAAATAAAATAAAATAACATACAGTAGAGGCTTCGTATAAGATACCTCGCGTTCCGAGCGTTGGAGGCCTACCCCCACTCTCGGCAGTTTTATCGCCTTCCGAATGTTTATGTTTCGTGGGCTTCTCATAAGATACCTACGGCCCATTTTGGGCCTATGGCCCAATTCTTCAACGGGAAGAGAGTAGTTGTAAGGATCAAACGGTGTTAAGGGTCAAACGGGAGGGACGAACGAAGTGATCATGAGGGTCTAATGACCTTAAGGGGGGGGGTCACACCACTTTTTTCAAGTAATGGAAATATACATCGATTTTTTTTTCACTTTTCCCATGGAAAAATCGTACTTTTTCGTCTGTGATTATTCTCGAGTCCACCAACAATCCCCCAACATCAGCTGCCATACAATCACGTGGAGTTATGTTTAGAGAGAAAAGGGAATGCGGGCGATACAAATTCAAAACCTTAAACAGATATAAATTGATTAGTTATCGATATTCATTTAGTAAAAATGAACATTTCATTGAACTCGGGCGCAACGAGTGAGGCTGCGCCCGAATTCAATGATCAGCGGGTTTCAAATTTTATTTGAAACCCGCTGATTCCGATTTCTCTCCTCTCTATGGACGCGCATAGTGGGGGCATAGGGATTTCCGGAATTCCACTCTCCTACTGTCCCTAAGGTATCTTATACAAAGCCTCTACTGTAGATAAATAAATTAATCTAGCGGAGGTCGCGAACCACCGTTGACTAGTTTATGTTGAATTTTCTAAAAATTAATGACCAAAAACCCAAGTTGTCACATACACTGAGAAAAAAAATTACTTTTGCCAATTATATTTACTAACTACAAGAAAATTTACACATGTCTTATGCAGATATTTATATACATTTACTTGTGGCAAGTAAATACACTTAGCAAAAGCAATTTTTTTTCTCAGTGTACATTCATATAGACATGACCCGAAAAATATCATTTCTTGACATTTCATAGCATTCTGGAAAATCTAAATCTTCCAAAACAAAAGTTAATTTGCGAGGTAATCACCCAATGAAAATTTTTATATCTGACTTAGTTTATCCTGCCATGTTACTGCTGAATTATCATGTTAATAAGCTCTGCTACATGATGAACAGAGAGGTCAAAAACATTGAGAAACAATTTTAGCCAACCTTGTTCATGTGATCCAGCATTCCCAGGGATGAACAACACGGGAATCCCAGTGAATTGCTTTTTCCTCAACTTATCAGTAACAAATCCTTCTCCATAAGCATACAGGCCATATCTCGGGTAGAGTTTCTCAACTTTATCGTCCAATTCAATTCTCTAAACCCCAAAGAACGCAGGTATTACCAAAGTGTCATCAAATTGCGAGATACAGTTATAAAGTGGTAAGATTTAGAATACAAGGTTTTTTTCCAAAATAGATAAGTGTCCAACAAAAAAATTATGACATTTTTTTTACAGGCTAAAATGGAAACAATAGATGTAAAACATGAAGAGAAGACCAAACATTGTTACCTTTAGCGATGGACTAACAAACTTTTGTTAATAATTTAATAACAAAACTGAATAGGGGAAGGCGGGACAAAGTGGAACGTTTTGTGAGCTTCTCCAAATCCCAATATCTCCATTTATAAATAAAGAGATTGGGGCCATCACAAAGAATTCTTTAACTTCAACTTCATTTGTACGTTTCTAAAATTGCTGAAGACCGCTTAGGCCAACCGATTGTCATCTGAATTTTGAAAATAATTACAACGGTTAGAAAAACCTATTAATAAGATAAAGATATTGGTAATTAGAAAAGATAAAAAAGTTCCACGGTGACCGCCCACCTCCTAGGGGAAGGTGGGGCAATATGGACACCAGATTCAAATAGTGAGTTGAATGGATCAAATCTACTGTTCCGACTTCGTTTGAAGTTTATACAAATGAACACATTGTCATAAGACTGCGTCGTAGGAGTTGTAAGGTAAAGCAAAAAAGGGGTAAAATGGGCACTTCGATATCTTCCTCAATTTTTTATGTTTCAACAATGTTATTCAATTTCTGAAACAATAATTATGACTGCGATTTTCAAATTGAAAAAAAAAAGCTAATTTTTGACTTTTGTCNGGGGGGGGGGGGGGGGGGTGAACCAAATTCTTCTTTGCGCGTTTATTCTCCCTTCCTCCCATTGTTTCATGATGATTTCCGTTATAAGTAGAAAAGTAGTTATCTTACAATTTTCGCAAATTGATAAAAGGTCAGTTGTGTAGGGCGTGCAATTGTTCATTGAAAAAATAGATAATTTCAAAGTTTTTTTAATACTAAAACAGGAAATCCAAAGCTATTCTATATTTTAAACTTCAATGCAACATTTAATAGAGTTAAAGCTTATTTGTTAACATCTCTTCCAACTCTAGTTTCTCTTTATAAAAAGATACACGATTCTGTTGGAAAATGTCTGTTGAAAATTTTCTTGATTAAAAGTTAAATAGGGCACCGACTGTAATGGTTAGGTGGGTGGGGTGTTGGTCACAGAGTGAACAATGTTTATAAACCCAAATAAAATAGACTAATTTTTTTTATATACCAGTTTTTTTATGTAAATAGTTGTAAATATTGTAAATAACACTTGTAAAAATGAATAAAAAACTTGGGAAAAAAAAAGTGGGTGAGGTGTTGCTCCGGCGGACAACCAAGCTAAGCAGCGTTGAGCTGGGTTAGTACTTGGATGGGTGACCGCTTAGGAACACCTCGCTCGCACAGAAATTGTGGGCGGGCGGGTAGGTACGGTGTAGCGGCCTAGTGTCTCCATCCAGTCAGTGTGACAGATGGATATATTAGGGCACTGCACAATCGGCCGGTTGTGCGACTGGGGTTTTACATGGTATCCCGTGCAGTCCTAGCTCGAATGGGGCACAGCTAAGAGTAAGACGGCCATGATACCGCAGATAATGAGAGGAAAAGAAAGGAGGGGAGGCAGGCTAGGGGAGGGGTTTCAAATCGAGAATTACTTCGATAAAACCAATGAAATAGAAAGAATTAAAAAAAATAGTTAAATAAGGTCAACTTTTTCGGGTATCCATTTTACCCCACTCTGGAATAATTTTTCGGTTGTGGACTTTCACGCATAAAAAAATTCAATAGAAAATCTCGTGAATTCGCTAGAAAATTTTATTGGAATTCTATAGGAATTCTATAGGGTTTCTATAGGATTTCTGTTGGAATTCTATCGAAAAATTCTATTTGTGTTTTGCGCTGATTCTATTGGATATTCGATAAGAAAAAATCAATAGATTTCGAATTTCTGTTCGAATTTTGCTCTTGAGATTTTTTCTATTAGAATTATTGGACACAAATTTTCTAAGTTTTTTCCGCTGGATTTTATTTTGTTTCGCATTACAAAATCCGAGTAGAAAAAACTTAGAAAATTGATGGCCGAGCATTCTTATAGAAAAAATCTCAGGAGAAAAATTTAACCAGAAATTCGAAATCTATTGGCTTGTTCTTATCAAATATCAAATAGAATCAGCGCAAAAAACAAATAGAATTGTTCAATAGAATTGCAATAGAAATCCTATAGAAACCCCATAGAATTCCTGTAGAATTCTAACCGAATTTTCTAGTGAATTCGCTAGGTTTCCTATTGAATTTTTTTATACGTGTTACCAAGAAGTAATTTTTTAAAATTCAATTATTGCAAAAAATTTTGAGTGTTTATTTTAGTCCATCCTACACAGATTTATCAGGTGTCTGCATTGCCCATTGAAACTCTTTTCAAAAATTTGAATTTTGAAAAAAAAAAATTTTTTTCGCAAATTTTTTGAGTGTCCAATTTAAAAAAAGTATGAGAATAGATTTATTACTCCGCTTTGCAATTAATTAAAATAGCGATGGACGAATCAAAAGTAATAGTTTACTCACAACATATTGTGGGTACTCAAACATGTACGTCAGATCGCACGTGTTCTCTTCGAGATTTGAGACATAACGTAGACCACCGAGTGTATAGATAATAAATATGATGACTGATATGAAGAAAATAGAGAGATGCACCACAAAAACTTTCATTTTTCACTTGATACTTTCCGTTGTAGATCTGCTCATATCACTGCATGATCCAACACTATTTAAGAAAGATGAGTCAAATATTCAAATTCAAGCACTTCTAGGAATATTAGTGAATGCTCCTAATTCGGGTGGACAGTAATTCACATAATAATGTCGAACTAACCTGTAAATTTCTTACTCCTCTGTTGAGTAATGCCACTCATCTCTACGTATTATACAATACAAATAATCCTGTGTTGAAAGTATATCTATATATATTGACGTCAGCTGTGAGATGGCTCGATAGGCGGGGTATGTATAGTTCAACTAACTAGAGAGGCAATGACAGCTCTGCTGTCCGATTTACAATTTCGGAGGTCACATTTGCCAGTAGTAAATCATAGCGAATATGGGCTGGTGGGTGCGCCTATGTATACAGCCGACTGCGGATTAGGGTGAACCGACCAATAGGGAACTTGCATGCATTTTTTTCAATTTTCTAATTCCAAGCTTCGGATCGGGATAATTAATTTTCATCAAGCTGTGCGAAAAAGAAACTTTTTAGGCACGCTTCGCGTGCAAGCACGTGGGGGAGGATGATATGTTTTCCATGGCGAGGTGTGTATTAGTATATTTCGTAACGAGCGCAAAAAAGTGTTTTTTGGCCAGTGGGAGGTTTATATCACGAGCCGAAGGGGAGTGATATAATCCCACGAGCTAAAAAACATTTTTTCACGAGTTACGAACAATATTTTTCATCACAATGTGGCGGAAATTGGACTTTTAGGCACGCGGAGCGTGCCGAAAAGTTCACTTTTCGTCACAACGTGATGCAAATTAATTTTCGTGTCGAGGGACCTGCAAAACGCCAATTTCGTGGCGCGCAGGGCCACGAAAATAGGGTTTTTCAGGTCCCGTGACACAAAATTTCGTAACGAGTGCAAAAAACATTTTTTCACGAGTTACGAACAATATTTTTCATCACAATGTGGCGGAAATTGGACTTTTAGGCACGCGGAGCGTGCCGAAAAGTTCACTTTTCGTCACAACGTGATGCAAATTAATTTTCGTGTCGAGGGACCTGCAAAACGCCAATTTCGTGGCGCGCAGGGCCACGAAAATAGGGTTTTTCAGGTCCCGTGACACAAAATTTCGTAACGAGTGAAAAAAACATTTTTTCACGAGTTACGAACAATATTTTTCATCACGCTGTGACGAAAAGTGAACTTTTCGGCACGCTCCGCGTGCCTAAAAGTCCAATTTCCGCCACATTGTGATGAAAAATATTGTTCGTAACTCGTGAAAAAATGTTTTTTTAGCTCGTGGGATTATATCACTCGCCTTCGGCTCGTGATATAAACCTCCCACTCGCCAAAAAACACTTTTTTGCACTCGTTACGAAATATACTATTTTTATTCACAAACGTTTGAGATATTGCTAATTAAATAATAATGAATCGATAAAAAGTTGAAGATTTCAAACGCTTTGAAATCACTAATGACGTCACATCGATGGTCGAGCGCTGGACAAATCACAGAATGGCTCGAGGCGACCTAACCCAATCTTGAAGTGTGCCTCGATCAAAGGAAGACGACAACTCCACAATTCTCTTCTTTTTCAACCAATGAAGCGTTATGTGACCGTCTTCGTGACGAAATCAATGAAAAATGGGCCTCGAAAACGACAGATTTTTAATTAATTATCATAAGACATCTAAGTAATCTTTCTCCGTAATTTTCGCCGTTTAGATATCCATATGTTTCGAGAAATGTGTGAATAGGGGAATTAAAAAGAATTGAGCTTCATGCAAGTTTCCTATTGGTCTGGCAACCACATAGATATCATTCAATTAATAATGTGTCCGTGTAAATGATTATTTGGGAAAAAATGAACATTGTAATGGTTCATAATTATAACGGTTGATACAACTCAAGTAATTTCACATGTTAATTTAACATTGCGCTGGGAAAGCACAAACATGTTGGGTACGTGTTCATCATTTGTCACTCCGTCATACTGAAAAATTGGCTCATTTAATTGAGCTATGAATGATCATCATTTAAATCTGAGTGATGCCCATGAAATATAATTTCTAGTAAAAATGAAAATATTGAATATTTCTTGTTTGTAGTAGTGAGTTTATGATATTAGATCTTCGCTCAAATATGGGCTACAAGAAAATTCGCTAAATAACCTGAAGATAGTTTTTCCAGCCACAAATCCGATGAAATAGTATATTATGTCATCAGGCGATAAAAGTATTATCTGGCGAACGTGATTATAATCCTTGTCTTCGACTCGGATTATAAAACCACATTCGCCAGATAATGCTTTTATCGCTGTGTGATATACGCTATTTTATGTCGTTGGGCCCGAAAACCGCGATCTAACCGAGCGAAGCGATATCCTCGCCTTCGGCTGGGAACGCAATCTTGCACGTGGGGGACGGTGATCTATTTTCCAAGGCTCGCGAACATATAATGTACTATTCATAAACATATCTGTACGTATGTGTGACAATTTCGGTTTTGGATGATTTATTTTTTGAAAATGTGGCACAAATAAGATAAAAATTCGTCGATAGGAATCTTAAATTTTGGCATGTGATAGCTATGACTGACTCGAGCTAGCCGATTGAGGAGGGGCTGGTGACTTTTCAATCGGCTAGCTCAGTTCTGTTAACCCTGAAAAACGTGATTCCTTCGTTTGTTTGCAACGAACCTATTATCTGTTTTAAGAAAATTTGATCAAAATAGGGGATAATTTTACTCATGTCCAAACGAAAAATCGACGTTAATTCCGTTTACGACACCTGGCATAGGGTTATCACGTGGAGATTTATTACAAGATACCACGTAATAAACAACATCGGGCTAATTGTGTAAATACAGCGACCAACTAATCTTGCAGTTCTCATGGGCAATGCATTCTCCATGAATAATTCGGACTGACAGGAGATAAAGAAAGACTGTTCTCTATTATTTTACGACACTTGAAGTACGTTATCGTTTTTTAAAAAAGTAGTAAACAATACTTATGACCTTATTTCAGTGCACTTTTCGTACCTCTATTAGGTTTCATTATGTCACCCCTATATAGATATGATAAAATCGAGGTCAACGCGATCGGTACCTGCTAAAGAGAGAAAAATCTCCTAAAATAATAATTTATTTGATTACTAGAGGGCTTCGCCCCCTACTTACTTCGCTCGCTCCCCCCAGTCTTCTTCAGCATGTTCACGTGTTCATATTATATAGGAAAAGATTAATATAATGATTTGCCTTCTTCGAAAAATTGAGATTTTTATTATTTATAAAAGGCGGCAACCCACATGGAGAGAAATATTCAGTAAAAATTAGGGAACAATTCACGTAATCCGCAATGGGGAATCGTTTTCCTGCAAGTTTTATAGGAATGGAAGAGAAGAAATGTGAAACTTTCAGCGAATTCTCAGGTTCATCACTGATCAAAGTACGAAATTATCACATAATTTTTCCCGAAGAAGTAAAATCTTACAGAAACTTTCTGACTTGTTATTCCTCCAACATCAAAAATTCTTGAACGTTTAACAATTTTTATGAAGCTGGTGAGTTAGTTCTACGATCCGTTCCGTAAAATTTCTCAATTGCTGAGGAAAAATTACGGAACGACTTGTCCCCACAGCGGTGAGTCATCAGACTGGTGGTTAATTTTTACCGAAAAATTTGTACAATTTACGTGGCGATTTGGACAATTTCAGTTCCGACTCACACTTTTTATTGAATTTGACTTCGCTCGCGGATTACCTTTCGAAACTGAATTTTTAAGTTTTTTTTCAGTAATTTTTATTGAATTTTTCTCTCTGTGCACGTCATTATTATTATTATTTAAGGAAACGTCCCCCATAAGGGGGTCCCCATGGAATTTGACGCCTGTATGACCTCCATATGCCTCATACGAACCTCTGGAGATATGAACATATTAAAGAGATGGAGATGACAATTCATTCTCAATGGCATCATCAGCGTCAAAATTAGGATCACAGTAACGGTCAGAATCAGGGCCGTCGCCTAAATTTTTTCAGTTCCTTATTTTTTTATTATACAGAGAGATAAGGACGTTGGACATATCTATTTTGTTTAGGATCAACTTGGATCCTGAAATTTTTAGGAGACTGCGTACAGTTAATTAAGGATATCCAAATACTTTGGCTATTTTTTCTCCAGTGAAATGGTTTTCTACTTTTGTAGTCGAGTCTCACAGCTGTCATTTGAGCCCCATTTGACCCTAAGTTTCCGGACATTTTACAAAGATTTTATTATTTTCACTTTGCAGGTCTGAATTTGAATCTTGATATTGAATTGTTAGAAAATATTATAAAAATCTGAAGAAATTTTAGAAAGTTTACTTTGGGAGGAAGATTGATGAAATAATTAAAAAGTTGCAACTTTTGAAAATTATGAGCCTTTTCTATAAATAATTTATAAACAATCAATTTTCTACCATAAAAATCATTTGTTCGGAATCGAAACAAATTTATTCATATTCAGAATTTTACCATAAATGGATTTCATGCCTAAAAAAAGGTTTCCGAACAACGAATGTTTAAGAAATAATAATTCTGTGCAAAAAGAAATTTGAATGATACTGAATATTCATGATTTTTTTCAAACTTTTCTCACGCAACTTGACTGACAAATTTGATGATTGAAAATAGTTGAATCTACAGTGTGGTCTGTACCAAACTGTAAAAGATACTTGGATATCATTAACGCCCGCTCGTTGGATTATGGAAAGGTAGAAAATTCGGGTTGGGAAGTACACATGAAGTCATTCAAAGGAAGTAGTTCCTGAATGTGCGAATAAAACATTTGGTTTGGAAAGGAATTGCTTCAGATTGTCTCCATTTGTTTCATTGCATAACTCGTGAAAATTGGCATTAATAAATGATTCAGTGAGTGGGATAAATAATTTAATACGTTTCAATAATACAATAGTAACAAGTCTGCTATATAATAACTATGCATGCATTTTATTATATACTACGATGCATTTTAGTATTCAAAAGAAAGGGTGCTAATAGTGGATTTCATCATAAGACTGAAAAATATTGCTTGTCCCGCGGCTTAAAAAAGCTTTTCTAGCTCATGTGATTGCAACCCTCGCCTTCGGCTCGGGCTGCAAACTCATATTCACCAGAAATTTTTTTTTCGGGCTAATGACGAAATGTACTGTCTCTCAAAGCTTGTTTAGACGCAATATCCAGTATTCGAACCGATTTCCGTTTTGTCATTCAACGAATTTTAAACCGGATTCTTATCTCCTGCAATAAATTAGATAATGCTCACGAATTGAATAAAACCTTGAGCAATATTCTGCAGATCAGCTCAGCGAATCTTGTCCGAATACTAGATGATTCATCCTCTCTCAGATTTTCTTTCAAAATAAATTGAATTTTATTCAGTCTCCATAGAATTTATCGTCAGGTATGTTCAGACATGAACATAAAAATTACATGAGTTAGATTTATTTCGAACAGATCTGCAAGATTCACGGTTAGTTACACTTGCACTTATTGCCAACACAACGTCCACCGCGAAGCCATCCATTCTTGAGTCCGCAACCCCTGGCACAGGCCTTGTTCCCATCCTTTTCGCAAGTCCACTTCCTCTTAGCATAAGCTAGAATGAGTGAATATTTCATGAAAGACTTCTCGGCAAGTTCATGATTGTCCGACCTCAATCGATCACATCTATTTGTATTTCACTCAATAAAAACAAATCCTCACCTGGAGTAAAGGTACCCATCAGAATAGCCGTTACGATCATCAGAATGAAGATGATATTAAATTTCGCCATAATGTAGTTGTCGTCTGCACTGACTAACTGCTGATCTCAGACTGAATGATAAGGTTTTGAAAATGCCGCCTTATATAGGAATACAGTCTTTGTAACGAAAAGAGGAACCGCGGAGAAAGACTCGTTTCCCCTCATTTCATTTTTTCCGAGTGGAAAAACGCTCGAGCGTCTACAGGGCCCCAAATGTAAAAAGCACAGTGTTCATATCGAGGTATTGTTGTGAGCGCGAGGTGGGTGAGGGGAACTACAGTCGCATTCTCAGAAACGACTTCCCCTACACGGGCGAGACTTCCCCTACAGACGCGTGACTATAATGGAGTCTACTTATGTATGTTCAAGATTGCGAACTCAACAGCTTGTGATTTATTATCTCATGAAACAGCGGGATTCCCCGAACATTTTTTCCCCTTGTCGTCGGGGTTGAGTCAATAACAATTAATAACTTGATTGAACATTGTTTTCCTCCGCGGAGGGGAATCCCTGCCGATGGCTGTCATGATAAAAAATCATTTTCGTCACATGGCCGAGAATACTACGTCGTCATTAAACCGCAAAAAATTTTGCTACGCGTCCGTGAATCGCTGCTTACACCCGTTATGAAAAAAATATTGTTCGTCATACGGCCTAAAATAGTATATTTCTAGCTCCTATGATTCTCCTTCGGCTCGGGCTGCAAACTCATATTCACCAGAAAAGTTTTGTTCGGCCTAGTGATGAAATATACTAATTCGACACACGGCCGAAATAGTACATTTTGGTCTAGTTATGAAAAATACTATTTCTAGCTCATATCGGCAGCTTAGTAAGTCACGTAACTACCAACATTTTTAAATTTTTGAAAATTTGTCTGAAAAAAACGTATCGCCTTTTCTAATTCCGATTTTCATATATCAGGGTATTTTTAACACTTCTAGCATAGAAAAAATAATGGTAAAAATGTAATAAAAAGGAATAATCTAGCATATAAAGATGAATAAAAAAATGTAATAAAAAATGGAAAAAAATGGAGGAGGAAGGAAAACAGGACATCCTAACCGGCGTGTTTACCGGTAATTTACACACGGGTTAGAATGTCCTGTTTTCCTCCCTTGGTGCACAATATACGATTTCGGCCTAATGACGAAATGTACTATATGTACAGCGTGAATTGTCAGGATAACTATTCCATCCGGGGTCGCAGTGAGTCTAAGATCTGTAAGCACGATTGTTATTCGGGGCTCATTCATTGTATTTTCTGTAGAATGGATCAATCGTTAACAAACTCCAGTTTGTGACACTTACCTTAGTGTACTGTTTGAGCCTCTTTGTGTTAAGTGAACTTCAGATAGTTTGATAACAGCGGTAAGGTATTATTACGGCTTAATCAACTCATTTCATTTTCACAGTAATTTTCTACGTAATTACACAGTATGAAGAAGTTGGTTGGACGCTGTACAGCTCTCCATGGGGATGAAATTCAAAAGAATCCAAGAAAATTGCTATTTTTGTGATGCACAGGTGTTAAACACGGCTATTCGTTGAAATCGGTAGAATCTTGCCGAAATTATCTATGAGTTATTACGCATCGATACGAAAAACGTGCTTATATGAATGAGAAATGAAATTAGAGAGCTCGACGATTTGGCAAGTGAGATTTTTTTGTATTGTTTCATTTGTAGCTCAGTTAGCAATATATTCTTTTTTCACTGCGTTACGAATCATGCAGAAGTAATCTGAGGACAATTCGTATAGTTCATGCATCTAATATACACTTCTGTGTACTTTGCTTAATATTCAATTTATCCTACTCTATACCTTATTTAGAATTCATACTATACTTTCTGATGGAAAACAGAAAAACGGTCTTGAAAATTTTCTAGTCAATACCTCGTTTATAATACAGATTTGATGGAATCGTTCACATTTGCATTCTTAGACAAGTAGGATTGGTTTTTAACAGTTTTGACACCGGGTATTTTTAGTCAGCTTTTTTATTGAGTTAAATCGAATGGCTCTGTACAAAAAAAGAAATTTACTGCAACTTCTTTGTGCTATTTTTAATACTTTTTTTGAATATAAAAATAGAACTGTTAAAAATCGTAAATAAAGGCGCATCCATATCTAATGGTACATCTTTAATCAGTGGCGTCCTCCTTGGAGACTGCAAATGGCTCTGGTACCTCTTCAACTCCTGAATCGACAATGATAACCTCTTTAGTAGGCTTATCACGACCATCAGTCTTAGTATTTTCGATCTTCCTTACGATGTTCTGGGAACAAAGAAATAGCAATCATGGATAAAAACTTGAATTTCATAAACAAAAGAATCAACGTCCTTCATTTCAACAGTTTCTTTTTCTTTGTTACAAAAAACTTCGGGATCTACTAACCATTCCTTTGAGAACCTTTCCGAAAACCACGTGTCTGCCATCCAGCCAGGTAGTAGCTTTTGTAGTGATGAAGAATTGAGATCCATTTGTGTCCTTTCCAGCATTAGCCATGGACAACCAACCTGCTCCATAGTGCTTGAGCTTGAAGTTCTCGTCGGGGAAACGATCTCCATAAATGCTACGACCTGACAAAAAAATAGGATCTTTGAATTAACCCCGTAAGTACGGCGCAAATATCGCGTGGTGTGTCAACTCAAATTTGCTGAAAGGGTCTATACGACAAATGGACGCCAGCTGATAGGGCAAGCTCTCGGGTTCATATTGTGATATGGACGCCGTACTTGAGGGATTAATTATGGTTAACTCTAATAAGGACAGTGATCACTTTACGGAGATTATACGTTGCATTTTATTCTCGTTTTCTTATGTTTTGCATATGAAAGTAATCAATAATCAAAATTGTTTTTTTTCTCGTTTGAAATAAAACCATCTTGCCATCTGTGTTGATGATACATAGATTCTTCTTTCATGTTACGTTAAGCATTCAATAATTCCTGTAAAAAGTCAGACCATATGGTCAACGAACTGGTGAAATTTCATACCCTACCAATAGAAAATCCTATTTTACTAAAGATGAAAGAAACGTGAAGGTGTTTTTATATCGAAATATCTCGAAACTGCCTGACCGCTAATCCTCAATTTTGATTGGTCAATGAGTCACGTGAAGTAGTCGCTGAAAAAAATTCCCGGTATTTTCAAATTCTTCAAATGGCAAAATTTTTTCTGCGTCATATTTTTAATTTTTTCATGTGTGAAGTTTATCTTTATATCAAAAAACATATCTAAATTGCCTAATTGTTGATTATGAGAAAAAAAACAGTATTTCTAAATTTTTTTAACACAAATTATTCTTCACTTCCCAAATTTTAATTTTTTCATATTTATCATACGAACAAATGATCAATTCTTGCTTCTCAGATTTTCATACATAAATTCTAAACTCTACAAAATTCATGAAAATTCTTCGGTTTCCGAAATAATTCGAGAAAAATCTTTGAAGAGTTATCTGGAAAACTGGAATTTTCCGAAGAATTCAAGAAATTTTTTCAGTTTTCTGGGAAATTAATTCATAACCCTCCCCTCATTTTTCAATAATTACAGATTTTAATCAATTATTTTACAAAGTAAAAAAAAGAATTAATCGAAAATTAAAAATTATTCATTGATGTTTCACTCTTCATTCTCTTAATTCTCCAAGTCATTATCAATATTTACAAAACATCTATGAGTACATGAAGTTTAATAAATGCGATTTCTTCATTTTCACAACAAAAAGATAAGCGCGCGCACAGATCTAGTTCCTATAGAATTATTGAATAGGAATCCCTGTATGAAGATTTTATAGGAGGGTTCTACGGAAAAATTGTCCGTTTGCTTAGGTAATCCTTTCCCTATCCGTATAGATGAAATTTCATAGAAAAGTTTTAAACAATTTTCTGAAGCAAGATCTGAATTTCAGCTAGCGTTTTAACGAGTTATGTCAAAAACAATAAAAATGTGTGACTTTTTTTGCTGAATTGCGTTAAAGAGTCGTCGGTCGACTGTTTCATTTTGATCCACTCTCCCCTATTTTCCTATAATATTACTCTAGTATAGCATGATATGGCATTTGACCAATACCTTATCTCATTTTCTTTTTTTTTCATCTCAGATTGACGATGAAATAAATGGGAAACGTTTCACCATTTTTTATGGAGAAATCCTCTGATATAAACGATGCTTCACAAGTGTTTCTACAGATCTCTGTTGAGGGGAATGCTATAGGAAATGTGTGAATTCCTCATGGACCACCTGGTAAAAATCCCTACAAGATAATCCTGTGGAAATTCTTCATATCTGATTTCCCTACTAAATTGTCAATAACTTGCCCTAATGAAAATACAACAGTATAGAGATTTTGAAAACAAAAATCGAGTACTGGTCTGTTTGACGTCTACACTATGTGAGATATTCCATTCCAAATGAGTCAATGGCTGACCCTCACCCTCTTGGAATTGATCTCGATTTTTTCTACAATTTTTTTCGTATTGTTGCGACAGCCCATTTCGGAAATATGATTTTTTCTTGATTTTTTCGTTTTTTTTTGCAATAATTCCAGTTCTATTCATCCGATTTTGATTTATGACACGTCAAAATTTTCAATTTTCTACCATCTCTAAAAACATTTTGAGTATTTTTTTTTTTAGCTAGAAGGTGCTCATAATATCGAATTTAAAAAAAAAGTTGAAAACATAAATTTTCAAAATTGTCACGTTTTATTTTTCTTGTCTTTTTTCAGTAACTCGTGAAATAAAAACAAGTAATTTGAGCCATACAAGTTGAGTTTCGTCCTAGATGTATTTTATTTTCAATATTTTCTCGAAATTCCACGAATTTGGTCAAAATACCCCAAAATGGCATTGATTGATTTTGATTATGAATAGTATGAATTGAATTGAAATGTATACTTATATGTTACATATTTTTTCAATACATAGTCAAAGTCGTGTTGGAGTGTTTTGACCAAATTCGCGGAATTTCGAGAAAATATTGAAAATAAAATACATCTAGGACGAAACTCAACTTGTATGATGGCTCAAATTACTTGTTTTTATTTCAAGAGTTACTGAAAAAAAGATGAGAAAATTCAAGAGTATTTTTTTTGAAAATTCGGTATTATAACCACCTAGGGATTGAAAACAAAATTACCCAAAATCGTGTTATACCCGAGATATTGAAACAAAAACAAAAAAATTATATCTCCGAAATGGGCTGTCGAAAAAATCGGAAAAAAATTGATAGTTTTTCTTGCCCCCTCATCGTAGAAAAAATCGAGATGAATTTCCAAGAGGATGAGGGTCAGGCTTTGACTCATGTGGCATGGAATACCTGATATTCCACTGAGAAAAATGTTTGGTAAAAATTTGTATTTCTGAAGTGTCATGACGATCTCTCCGAAACCTCTTTCGTCTGGTTTGATGGAAGCCATAAAAAAACTACAAACCTCCAGTGCCGTCGCCTTTGGTGAAGTCACCTCCCTGGATCATAAAGTCTTTTATGACACGATGGAATTTGCTGCCTTTGTAACCTTCACCTTTTGGCTTTTTCGCCAACTCAGCAAAGTTCTTGGCAGTTTTTGGAACAGTCTTGCCAAAAAGTCCAATCTCAATCCTTCCAACATCTTCATCACCAATCTTAATATCAAACCAGACCTAGAATATCGCAAAAATTATAAAAAAAACTCTAAACATGAGTGATAAGATTTTAAAAAAACATGGAATTGGTACATTTCGTTTTCGAATTTACTGAGTTCAAAGAATTAAAAAATACATACCTTATCCGTTACTTTTGGACCGTTTGCTGGCTTTTCAGCAATAACAACAGACAATAACGCAAATGCACCAACAAAACAAATTAAGGAGCGCATTGTTACCCCTTAATTGGTTAAAACACGATAGGGGTGATTGTAACAGATAGACAGTCGGATGCTTTGTGCCGCGTGGCTCGCACCACGGAGCAACAAAAACCGGCTCTCCAGTACCACTGTCACTTAACGTGGAGCCCTCTCATTGGCTGAATTTATTACAACTGATCTTTAAATTGACCAATTCTGTAGCACAATGTGGTATGGTGAAGAGATGCAATATTCCATAGCAATTATTTTGGAAATGTTTTGGAAAATATAGAGACCTTTTTTAGGATCCATCGTATTCTCACAGAAAATATGTTTCAATTAATTTCATCAACCTCTTTTTTCCGAAAATATTCCTCTGTGCTTTCAAGTTATATCCTCTAACTATAGTTTCGAAGATGGTTGCCAAATAAAACAGGTCTTTTTGTTCATGACTTGTTTTCCTTTTAGCTCTTTCCTGCTGCATTCAGTACAAACTTCTGTAATAGCAGAGTATAAAATGTGCCGCGTCACACTTTTTATAATTTTTTCAATACAATTTTTTGTGCTAGGACTCATGTACACGCACGAAAAAATTCGATGGAAAAACCTAGTGAACTCGTTAGAAAATTCTACTGGATTTTATTGAATTTTCTGTTAGTTTTTGGCCAATTCTGTTGAAATATTCAATAGAAAAAGTTAATAGAATTCAATTTTTCTATATGACTTATTCTTTTCAGACACTTTCTATAGAATTTCCTCGACTCAAATTTTCTGAGTTTTTTCATTCTATTTTTCTTTTTTTCTCATCTATATATATATCAACATGAAAAATTACCAGCGGAATTACAAAAAATGATCAGTTGAATACCGTGTTGCCTATATAAAATAACAGTCAAATTGCTCGACTTTAAACTGAAATAAATTATTTAAAATCATATTCATACTTACACCGAAGCTAATTGTCCATTTATTGAAGATTTTTTTCATTGATTGTTACATAAATTTTTGCTATCCAACATGTATTAAGTGTTATGTATCTTCCCTTGCATCGTCATCGTAACATTTTGCGGCTTTATAGAGAGCATTTTGAAAAAGTCTCTTACATCTTCGTAAACCTGTTTATCCCAGATATGGCTCGAAACATTGTTACATGAAAATTTAATATCAATTATGTGATAAATAAATATCTCCGAAACGAGTAGATTGGGAACAAAATGTCATGAAACATCTCTTGCAGTTTATCTAATTCTGTACAAATGAATGAGTAATCTTTCTGTCAAAGATATGGTAATCCCTCCCACAAATTTTATCTCCTTCAAACGCGATTTTCTTCTAATTGTAACAAAAAAAATATAATAATAAAATATTCGAACATGTCATTGAAGATTTGTCCATTCACTTACATATGCTTTGTCTGAAAATGGTAAACGATACATGGAACTAAATGAATAATGAAGATCTTTTTATTATATAGCGTTTTTGGACAAGAAAAACAAACCATTTTGTATTGAAACTTTCTTTATTGCGTTTGCATGTTTTGATGATTCATTATTGACAAATGGGTATTGTTTTCATCTAAATACGTTTCAAATCATCCCTAAGTATTCATGATAAATTATCCAATATGTATGACCTGTTGCGCGTTTCAAATCTATAATTAATAAATTACAACTTTACATCAGTTTTTAATTTAGTATGAGTTACATATAATTTCTGTCAATGTTTTTTTTCTGTCCTTTATTACGCATTACCATGCGGGGGTAATACTTGGGTGATTCTTCCAGACGTATATTACAAAGTAACATTGCACACACATACATACTTAGTCCAACTTAAATTGTGTATTTTCTGATTTTACTCTGAATATCATACCGCTTTGTATGATTTCATTTCCCCCCTTAGTAGTATACTCACTGATACTACTATCCATAATTGTCGCTTTTTCATTTGAAATTATTTTTCATGCTTCCTGTTAAATCTTAGTATAAACTTTTCACTCGTACATAACTCATAGCATGTTCTGATACATAAAAAAGAAAAAAAATGTATGATTGAATCGTATAAGTTTAACCGAAAATAAAACCACTTTTTTCATGAAGAAATATTTAGTCACACATGACTAAGACATGTATCACACTAAAATCAAGCTGTATTGAAGTCATAAAACATATTAATCAAACTCATTTTTTTATGTCAACTTTGTGACGATTCCAATAGCGAATAAATTTATGATAGAATAGTGAGATAAATTCGTCGAGAATTTTTCTCAGCTAAAAAAGCTTCTCAGATATTTACCCCAAAACCATTTATTTAGATGTATAATTCAATGATCAGCAGGTTCACGATGTTAAAACTTGTCGAACAGTTATTATGCACTCATTGTATTAATGAATGGCCTTAGGAGAAGGCTTCACTAGCTTGAGAAGAACTCGCTTGAAATTTTCTCTGCAAAAAAAGCCCTTAATTCAAAGATAATTTTTTCATGAATAAAAATATCGTCTTCAGCTCATTAAATTTTACCACTTCAATTTAGAATTAGTGGTGAGAACATAAAAATAAGAAGAAATTAAACGGGAAGATAATATCTATCAAGAAAACTGGATAATGATAAACTCACTGGCTCTGGAAAGCTTGTTTATACAATGCTAATGGGAGGAAAAAAGGGGAAGGAAAGGCTAATTGAAACAACGTTCCAAGTCCTTTCGTTACATTTACTCGTCGCAATGGTGGTAGGTGGCCCTGTCAGAAAATATAAAGTCAAAAAAAATTGAAAGAATGAAAGAATAAACGATAAATTCAGCCAAAAATAATTCATTTTTAATTTACCGTTGTTTCCCAGTGTTTCTGCGGGACAACCTTCTTCCAGAGTCTGATGTAGCCAGTGTGTAACGCTTGGTGTGGATGGGATTGGTGCGTAGAGAACGTGGTGACACAGATTTAGCCTCATCAACTTTGGCCATGAATTTTTTAATCAAATCTGGACAATTCAAGTTGTCCTCAGGCTCCCACGAGTCCTCAGATGGCTTAAATCCCTTCCATCTGATCAAGAATTCACGTTTACCGTTTTTCTTGAAATAAACATCAATTATTCTCTCAACCTCGTACTCAGCATTGTCCTCCTTAGTATTGTTCTCCTTTTTAACTTGAATCAGAAGAACATTGTATTGATTACTAAACATAAAAAATTTAGTAAGGTATCTGGGATTAAAAAAAGGCAATGATGTACAAAGATTTGTTCTATTTCTTACCATTGTTAGTCTTTTTAGCCTTCTTTCCCTTCTTGTCCACCTTTTTTGGTGGTTTGCTCGAGGTTTCACCACCTTCATCTTTGCTGCCTTGTTCAGCTAGGAAGTCCTCGATCAACTGTGGGCAACTGAGATCTTTCTCTTGCTCCCAAGTGTCTGCATCGTCATTGTAACCCTTCCAGCGTACCAGGAACTGGCGTCTACCTTTGATCGTTCTGTGGGCAACGATTTTCTCGACCTAAAGGTACAAAACACGAAATCAAGAACATGGCGAGAAAACAATGGCAAGGTCTTTCCGGTTTTAAAGTTTCATCAAATTAAACATTCGAAAAATGACTGACACAATGCAAGCAACAAAATTTTTTTTGTTAAATATTTTTTTATATCAACTTTTGTTTATCAACATTTTTGTTATTCTTGAGAGTACTAATGAAAATAATAATTTGTCATTCAGTAGAATGAAAAATCATGGAGTAGTTTTGACGGGAGAAGATTTTGTCAATGGATTAATTGAAAACAAAATGGAACAGCAAAATCCAAAGTCCAGAGCAACGCCCAGGGGGAAACTCAGTGGAAGAAAAAGGCAAATGTCATGCTGAATTTCAATCAAATGAAAAAAAAAGTGTAATCGACCTAATCTAATCAACTGAATTATAAGACAAATAGAAAATTATTATTCTCATGAGTACTCCCAATAATAAAAAAAATTGATAAAAAAAAAAATTCAACAAAAAATAGTATATTTCCCAGCGAGAGGGAAAATAAAGAAGTCGTGCCCACGTGCAGAATTACCACCCGAGCCGAAGGCAAGGGTGGTAACACGTGGGTAAGGGTCCTTTATTTTACCTCCCGTGGTGAGAACGTTATTTTTCGTCACGGCGTAGGCGGAAAATCTGCCTTTCCGCCCGCCGTGGCGAAATAGTATATTTCAGCACGTGTGGGGCAATATCGTCTTTAACGTGTGTGGGGTTTACAGCATGAGCCGAAGGCGAGTGATGTAACCACACACGTTAAGGACGAAATTTCCCAACAAGTACTGAACAAAATTTTATGTCACGAAGCCTGAAACCAGCCGAATTAGACACGAGACGCGAAGCGTCGAGTGTGTAATCCAGCCGGTTTCAGGCATAAGTGGCATAAATATTTTTTTGCTTGAATTGCGTCAAAAAGTCATTTGTCGACTGTTTCATTTTGTCCCGCTGTTTAATTTTGCCTCGCTTTCCCCTAATTAATTCGATGATTATTAATCAAATCGAGACAAGTTCGAGACTTCAGGAAAAAATTTCGAGTTTTTCTAGGCTTTGTTTTTATGACAATAATTTGATAATTAACAGTAAACAAATGATCAAACTTGAAGAGCTGTAATTAAAGTAGTAATAACAAACTGCAGCTGAGCCAATAGGTGCAGCAAGAAAAATAAATTAAAAACCCTCGATAAAAGATCATTCGTCATTCATAATTTTGTATGAATCCTGATTTTAATTAGTACACGAAATTAGTCCAATTTTTCTTCTTCTGTTTCTTAGATAGTGTTATCTGATTAGCGTTGTATTTTGATCTATTTCAATTATAACTCGCTTTTCATCATAAACTATTGATTACAAAGGCAATAATTTCCTCATTGGACATACAATTTCAATTTTTTAAATATTGTTTCTAACCTCGAAAACGAAAAACAGCCATGTTTCCATGATTCTGTGTTAATTGCAACTTCTAGATAGCTGGCTATCAACAATACTAAACAGAATGTTTCTATTGATATTAATTCCCACAAAAAATTTATATAAAATTTTAATCACATCGGTGTGTTTATTCTACTTTAACAATCTATAATTTCATAATTAATGGGATGTAATCAGTAGAAAATTATTGAAAATTCGAGAACTCTATTATTTTTATAACAGTTGATTTTTGCAGGAACCATCAAGAGGCGTCTGATGACGACAATCATCTAGACCTAAAGTTGCAAAACATGGCGTTCAAAGAAAAAACAATTCAACGTACAACAGTAATGGCGGGAATTCCTTCGGTCTCAGTTTTTTTTTATTCTTTTCTCTTTCATTGTATCCGATTGAGAAATAAATAAATAGCAACCGAAGTGAAGAATTTTTATAGAGTGAATGACTTGCTTACCTCATACTCCTTATCCTCTTCTTCATTCCCATCACTGTTGTCTTGTGAAGTTGTTGGCTTCTGTTCCTCCTTTTTCCGGCGTTTTCGTGCTACCCCCTTCTCGCCATGGCCATTTTCATTCTCTTCCTCGACCTTTACCTCATTATTATCTGCCTCCTCGTTCTGAGGTGTTTCAGAACGATCATCACCACTTTTACCATTATTTTTACCCCTAGATCCTTTGCGCTTTGTTTTCGGCATCGTATCAACTTCTGTCGCATCTACCGAATTCTCAGCGTTGCTACCTGCACCGCCATTTTCCTCAGATTCACCATCACTGTTATTATCGGATCTTCTCCTTTTTCCCTTCATACTCAATTTTCTCATTATCTGATTACTTCAACAATTGTAATTAGTTACTTTCTTTGACGAAGGGATGATTTTTTTAACGCCCTTTGTAGAGATTTTTGAGGAAGACTCGAGAACGTTATCAATGCGGGAGTTGCTACCCCACCATTGCCCGCCACAACTGGCGACACTAACAAGTGTGGCAGTGAATTGGTTGTACAGTAGTCCCAAAAAATTGAGGGAAAATTACGAGGGCGCAGGGGGCGCGAAAATCCGATTCTTTTTAGTTTCGGGGGAGTTTTCAGAAATTTCCTGAACTTTGGAGGAACTATTTTTTACGTTTAATCACTTTTCGGCGCGTAAACAAATTGAGAGTCGAGAGAACTAGAACGTTTAGAGTATGTGGAGTGTGTGTATGTATATAGCGGTGGGCACGCACGGGAAATTGCGCAGCGGCACCAGCGCGGCGTCGTTAGTTCGGGGCGGGAAATTTGAACTGGCTTTAAATCAATTAGTCTCTTGAATCGTTTCTTTTTCGTGAGACATGAGTGGAAGATAATTTATCGAGCAGAATAAAGGGGATTGGGTATTATTATCTTGTGTCAATTAGATGCTTGTGTAGGGAAGTGGTGTTTTTAATATTTTACGAGTGTCGTTATTATTTATAATATTCTCAGGTCCCTAAAAATTCTCTGCACCAGTATCGATCACCAAAATAATTCAATCATCGCGAATGTGAGTTGATTAGGAACGTGTCAGGAGTTATAGAAATGTTAATTATTCAGAATAAAGTTGTTTCAGAAAAATTATTGAAAGCCATTATTGCTATGAAATTGGCAGTGTTTTCAAAGAATGATTAGGACATTTCATTCTCCTAAAATCCTATGTTTTGTAGATGAATGCCTAATCATTAAAAATTTCTTATTTGATTTGAATCATATCATTATTCTGATGAGTTGCTATCATTATCCTATGGGAGGTTAATATGCCCGTTCATTTATCAACTAAACACAATTGAGCAAAAATTTATTTTTCCATTGATTCGATAGTTTCTCCTTTGATATTGAAGGAATCAGTTCACACGCACATTATAATCTTTAATGAAGGAATCATGATTGATGAAATTATTGACTCATAAGTCTCCGAAGTAGCTATCAAAATTGTAATAATTCGTAGAATTTATTTTTCAAATTTTCCATGTAACTAAAATTTACATAGAAAATTTGAAAAATAAATGTTGTTGGATCATGAGATGAAATGATTGTTGCTTCAGAATGGAAGTATTGTAATCATTCAAATTTACGTTGTGGATTTTTTGTCCTATATTGACCCATTATGATCCAAAAAGTCCGAAAATGCAAATTTTAAACCGTGTCCGTACGTATGTGCATATGCAGGCTTAGGCATCTGTCGATGACCGCAGTTTTTCACATGATATTGTCAAAAACCCGTAATTTACGTAATAAATTTAAAAAATGTAAAAAAAATAGTCGAAGTTACCTTTTATTGTAAACCATGAAGCTTCGCTAATATTATACGTCGCGAGGGTGATAAAAGTCACGAGGTTCATGCCTCGTTGGGATCATACGTCTCGAGGGTCATACCGTGGAAGGGATGAATTTTACAAGGCTCAATCGTATTACTTATTGATCTCGATTGAATTCATCGTGTAATTATCTTTTGTCATAACATTAACTTGTTTCATTCAGCATTCTTAAGTGACAAAACTAATTCAATTGTCTCTGGTAGCTTTTTTGAACTCTTCAGAACAAAATAGTTTTTTTCAGGTCCAACTGGGCTTTTCGGGGGCTCCGAACAATAAAGTGAAGAAACCAATAAAGCTAAATGAATAATGAGATTGACTTTCTCATAATGGAGATGACTTGTAACTTTGGTCTTTTGCAACGTTTAATCCTCGTGAAATTTACTCTTCATGGGGTAGGAGGCTCATGTTTTTCAGTTTCTTAAAATGCCGTAAATCGTATCACGTGATGTGATAGTGCATTATGTCAGCAGGCGATGCAAGTATTTTCTGACGAATGTGGCTTTATAATTCGAGCCGAAGGCAAGCATTTTAATCCCATGAGTCAGAAAATTGTTTTATCGTCGTGTGACGTATAATATTTTATGGGTCTGGGCCCGACAACCGTGATCGCCATTCATTAAAATTTAATTCATCGATTAGTTTTTCTAATTTTTGAATTTTTTCGAAAATCAGTTGTCCCACGATCACTAAAAAAATGTTCTGAATTGATTGAATGATGACTTACAAAATTAGTTTGGATGCCCCCTTGACAGAGTTCGAAGATGAAGGCGATAGCAATAATCGTTATTTTGATTTATTCGAAAATTTTTTAAAAATTTGTATTTTATGAAAATCATAATTCCGGGGATATCTTTGAATATCATGCTTCAAATGAATTCAATCATAGCTTAAAATGTTTGTTTTAGTGCCATTAAGGCAAAGTTGAAAGATTATTACAATAGCTATATTGGTTAATTTGATTTTTATGATGATTGTTCAAAATTTCGAATTTTTCATGAATTTCCCTAAAAGTGAGCTTTTTGATGGTTTCTTCAAATCCGATGCTTCAAATTCATTCAACTATGTGTAAATAAAATTTTTCTATTAACATTCTATGGAAGGGCTGAGAGGCGAGATACAAATATAAAAAAGACAATCTGTTGTATAGAAGAAAAGAGATAATAGGAATAATGATGCTGATAACATTCAACTAAGGTGAAAATCTGCCGAAATTAGGTGAAAGGAAATCTTATTCAATTTAGTAAAATGAAATAAATAATTAATTATGTGTGATAGAAGGAAATCATGCGCAAAATAACTGTTCGGAGACATATTGCTAATTTATTAGCAAACATAACTATACTATATGCAATACAAGAGCAATTTCCCACTTGTTTCCATTGTTTTCACTTCTATCTATTGAATTTGGCATTTAATGTGGAAGAAATTCTATTTAATTCCGTTGTTTCCCAGGCAACGGTATTGGTTGCCTGATTCCCGTTGAATCAATTTCCAGGCTAGTCAACTCATTTCAAACGTTTTCTTCTACATCATAAAATTTTGATATTAAATTATGGCGAAGTCTGTGACGATTTATGAAAAACCAACATCTCACTTAGGATTGCCCGATTGGTATGCAAAGCAGTGGCAATTGCAGGAGTCTGCAAAGAACCAAATTTCCGATTCATTCGAGCTCCGCAATACTGCGAGGACCCTTCGCAACGAAACGAAAATCCGTACAGAATGGGACACTCGAATGAACGATGCAAGATTGGACGATAGAGTCAAGGAGTTGAAGAAATGGCAAGAAATTTTGGAAAAATTGTCATCTTGTTTGTCCTCAGAAATGAAACAATTGAGGGATGAACAATCGGAGAGTGAGAGAGATCTGGATAATATTGAATTACCCCTTCAAGTGGTGGCTCAGTGTATTTCAATGCGAGATTGCAGAAGAGGAACGGAATTGACATACGACGAGGCAGACACTGAACTCAAGAAAGAATTAACTGTCGTGGAAGCTGTGAAAAAAAGGCTCACTGAAAAAATTCACGCTGCGTGGGTAAAGTTGAATAAACTGGAGGAAGTGAAATTCCAATTGAATCTGGATCTCGACGATAAAACAGAGACTATTGCAATTGATGGTGATAACTTAATAATGAACAGAAATTCTGGGGGAATCAGTTATAAACCAAATGCATTACGAATACCGAAAAGGTCTGTATTTCTCCTCATAATTGAAACAAGGTTCTTAAAAGTTTTTCTTAAGTCAAATGGTAATGAACGAGTAGCTAAACAATTTCAAATATCTAACGAATTTACTAATTTCTTCAATTTATTTTGGCTATTAAATTTCGCAGCTGATGCGGGAAAACAAATTGATGCGATTATAACACATTTTTTCAAACTCACAAAAAGCTGGGATGTTTTGTTCATCCGTTCAGATTTGCTCCTTAAGGTTCAGCAACTATGGCATTCACTTATAATTCAATGTTTTATCCAGTAGCCGAGATGTGAAATTCTGTGAGTCGATTTTAGCTCGCTATCAGAATCAGATCTGATCTGATCTGATCAGAATCTGATCAGAAGAAAATAGGAAACAAGTGGAAAATTGTTCTTGTATTGAATATAGTATAGTTATTTTGACTAATAAATTAGCAATATGTTTCCGAATGGTTATTTTGCATGCTCTTCCCTTCGATCATGTATAATTGATTGTTTATTTCATTTTATTAAATTGAAAAGATTTCTTTTTAACTAATTTTGTCGGATTTTCAAGTTAGTTAAATGTTATTATCATCGTTATTCTTATTATCCCTTTCTTTCTTATCGCTCTCAGCCGCCCGATAAAATGTTAATAGAAAAATGTTATTTATACATAAACGACTGAAACGTCACATTTGATGAAACCATAAGAAAGCTCACTTCCAGGCAAATTCATGAAAAGTTTTCAACAATCATCATGAAAATCAAATCAACCAATATAGCTATCGTAATCATCGTTTAACTTCGACTTAATGGCATTAAAACAGACATTTTAAGCTATGATTGAATTCATTTGAAGCATGAGATCCAAAGATATCCCAGTAATTGTGATTTTAAAAAAATACAGAATTTTTGCATATTTCCAACATAGAACATTTTCTTTACTTGTCGCAAAAAAAAACAATTATAGAAAAATTGAAAAAAAATTAAAAATTAATAAATTAATTAAATTTTAAGTAACGACGATTGATAGGGCTTAATATTTGAGGGGAAAAAAATCAATTGCATCGATTCATTAGCGAACAAACGAAGAAAAATTTGTTTACATTCGTACGGACACGGTCTAAAAATTGCACTTTCGGACTTTTTGAATTATAATGGGTCGATATAACACAATAAATCCAAAACTTAAATCTGAACGATTACAATGCTTCCATTCGGAAGTAAAAATTACTGAGAAATTTATTTAGTCAAAATAATAGGGGCTACAAAAAAGGTCTCTAAAAAAATTGTGCTAAGTGTAATAGCTATATCCATATCATTGTGTAAATATTGTGGAATCTAATGGGAAAAACTATCGTAGAGATTAAAATAATTTACAGTGGGATTCAGAGAGATCTTTTTTGCAGTTCTTAACATTTTTTACAACACATCTCCGCATTTTGATTTGAATCTGTTGACGATTAAATGGATTTCTCAATTGGCAGCTTCCATCAAATCATCTCATTCAAGACGAATTTTTGTCAACATGAACATGACAATCAAATTACTTGCAGCTCCAACACATACGAAACGTGGCAGGGCCACTGTCGGTACATAAAAACTCTTGTTGAAAATGAACTGAAAGATACTCTGAGCTTTCGCGAGGCTCTCCATGTAATGCGTAAACGCGCCAAAATTGATACTGAAGCACAACAAGAAGCCACTGATTATGCATTACGAAAGCGTATATATCAAACGCAAAAAGCAAGGAATGAAATGGAGTGGAAGAAGAGAAAGATGCAAGAGGAAATGCAATCATTGATGAATGAATTGACTCGACTTGAAGAGGCACTTAGGAACAAAGTCGATGCTGTCAAATGCGCTGAGACGAGACTGGAGAACCGCACCTACAGACCTGGCTACGAATTATGTAGGGACGAGCCAGAATTTGGTTTAAACGACGAAGTTCTTCAGCTCAGAAAAACGAAGTCGGAACTTGTGACTAAAATCAATTGTACAAAGTAAATATTCATTTTTTAAATCCCTTCAATAATCTGTATAAGATATATTCGATAGAGTATTTACAAGTGGAACGATGGCTTCTGTAGAAAAGTAACACATAAATAAATTGGATCAAGAAAACCTTCTTTAAGAACTTGAAAATTCGAAATTCCAAAACCGAGATTTTTCTGATACTTAGGGGAAATTTTTCGAAATGAGTAAAAATTTCACATCTGTTCAAGATTTTTTAGATTTCAGTGCAACATAGTTCAGAAAATCAGCGATTTTCTGGAGAAACTAGAAATTTTCTTTTCTCTGTGGTGCTGTAAAAACTTACAAGACCCTCCCAGTAGCCTCAGGAAATTTCCTACGAAAAACGTCTTTTGATGACGATAATTTCTCCTAAGACGAATTATAATCGGATTTATGGAATATGTCACGTGCTAAAAGGAAAAAGGTCATATTGACCATTTTGTGATTTTTAGGTCAACGAAGTGAAAAAAGGTCGTATGAACCTACTCTAGGGAACATGAAATCTGGACCATTTGCACTCTCTAGAATCGTTTTGACACAACTTTTAAGGACAATTTTTTTGGCGCATACGATTGTTTTCCCCAAATATTTCTCCAATAGTGGAAAAATGAAAAAAAAAAATCTTCGCGCAAAAAAAAATTGTCCTCAAAAGTTGGGTTAAAATGATTCTAGAGAGCTCAAATCGTCCAGATTTCATGTTCCCTAGATTAGTTTTATACGATTTTTTTCCACTTCGTTGATCTAAAAATTCCAAAATGGTCAATACGACCTTCTTCCATTTAGCAGCCGATGTAATCTTTAGTCCTTCTGTCTTCTCAATCATCAAATTGCCTAATCAATCATGGATTTAAGTAGGAAACATCAGAAGATTCTTTCACATGAGATTTGAACAAAGAAGGCCTCCCGATATTTCCTCCCAACTCCGTTCTTCCCTTGCATATCCATCCTCACAAGCAATTGAATTTTGATTTCAGAGCAACATTCAACGGACTTGAATCCCTCCTAATTCAAATCGATCGCAATCTCGACGACAAACAGCATTCATTAATGACAGATATAATGTGCCTGGACATGCGAGCAACATTGAAAACTGGAGATAGATCACCCCTGATCAATGAAACCGAACGTAACATAAAGTTGACTCAACTTGAGAATGAGATACCTCTCGAGCTCTAATCTTCACATCTTTATACGTTATCATCTGCACCCATCTTCAATCTGATCACATCAATTAATAATAAAAAACAACCATTGAGTCGTACAGCGCTAATTCGAAAAGTGAAATCACTTCGATGATGAGACATTGAAGAAAATGTCAGAGATATTTTCACAATACCTTTCATCACTTATAGAAAAAGTTTTGAGAAATTTGGGCAAATAACTTTTTTCTAAAATGAGTTTCAAATTAGCAAGAATTATCAATTTAACTTATTGTATTCTATTACATAATTGTATCTGGATTAGCCTTAATGAGACTGTACTCCGTGATGAACGCATCAGTCAATGCTGGCTGCAATGTCTTAACAGCCCTCCTGTGAATATCCGTCACCCTCATCGGCTCTCCATGCTTCATCTCGAATAGAATGAAATCAATCCACACTTGAGTGTTTGATTTCCCATAATGCAGTGTCGCAAGTTCATGAGGTTTTCTCGCACTCTGCTTACAGATCTTCGGCTGAATCATTTCCAGCTCCAACATCTTCTTATGCAGTTCCAAACACGTAGGAGGTTGAATCGCGAGTTCATTGTATTGTTGTCTCGCAGCTTCAATTCCTTTGGTCAACACTAACCACTCGATGTAGGCGGGTTTCATCTCTTTAGAAATTTCTACATCACTCTTCATAGCTTCCACAAAAATCTCATGGACCTTTTGAGGATATTTAGCTTGGAAATAGAGTAATTTCATCCGCCAAAGAGGTAGAGCCTTTCCTCCTAGTAATTTAGAAGCTTTAGCGAATTCTTCAGTGACCAGAGAATCTTTTCCAGAGTTTATCAAGTGTTTTATCTTTGTTGTCCATAGATTTACACTCGTTGGAATTGCGTCTGTTCCATAACACATAACCTGATACAATTTTTCTTCAGAAGTTTCGTCTTTTTTGTCGGTTGTCAACATCTCAAGCCAATAAAGATAATATTTTTCCTCTAATTTTTTGGCTTGATCAGCTTGGATCAACGCATTCTTCAGCAACTTTCTTTTGTAATTAGGAAGATGTGATAGATCTTGGTTAATCTCGAGGAGACAGTCGATGTAAAGTGACCACATTGTCTCTGATTTGAGTTTTTTAACTGCAGCTTGGTACACCTCGTTGCAGTTCGTGATTCGATCCCGTAAAGAGTTCTGGTCCTTTGTAGTTTCCACCTCCATGGATTCTTCTTGATTTGGATCATAGGAAAGGCCTTCTAGTTCTCGTCTTGCCATCGTCTCCCACATCTGAGGCTTGTTCGAGTATTCTTTGGTGAGGTCTGAAATTATCTCGTTCTGCAGGTTTTTAGTGTTTTTGTGGAGTTTACAGAGGTTTAGGAGGTTGATTATGAACGTGACGTCTTTCACTTTTTTAAATGCCATTTTGTAGATTATCAACGCTCTTTTTATACCTAGGGGCATTTCCTCTGCGATTTCGGAGGAGGCGTCAGGGGTGTCGTCTGACTTTTGAGATGCTTCGTCTGCTTGATCTAATTCCAATCTGAAAATATTTATGCATTTAATGATTAGGCGTGGTTTTCATGTTTTTTAATTGAGCGAAATACAGGGAAAAAATTTGGTTAGGTTCCCGGAAAAATTTCTGACTCAGAGAACTCTACCGTTATACTAAACTAGGGAGCAAAGTACTCTGGAAATGAGCGGAATTTTTACTCATTTTAAGAAAATTTTCACTAGGAATCAGAGGAAAAAGTTCTAATTCATAGCACTTTTCACTTAAATTTTATATAGTTGTACTTGAATTAAAGCACATTTGTTCCAAGGACATTCTGAGGATAATCAAGAACATTCAGGTTTTCAAATTAAGAACATACACGCTGTTCGATTGATGACTTGTCCTGTTCTCAAATCAATCTAGTCATGTTTGTATAGTATATCTCTAACCTTGGGAGGTAAAATAAAGGACCCTTAGCCACGTTCTTACCACCCTCGCCATCGATTAGGGTAGTAATTCCGCATGTGGGCACGACTCCTTTATTTCATCTCCCTGGGTTAGAAATATAACATTTTATTCAATGTATGGGGTCATCTGACACCTTGAGTCAGTTAATATTAAAATAATGTTCAATTATTCCAGAATTTCAGCCCTTTCGATTCGTCTTAATTTAAGAATACAAAGAGTTCTTAATTTGAGAATGATTGTTGATTTAAGAAAATTAAATAAGAGAGATTCACGCCAAACTAGCAGGTCAAAAAAGTCGATGCTGGGGATTTTTGTCTCAATTTTTTTTCTGAAACGATGGCGACTCGACAAAAATCTTGAAAAAAGAAAAATAGAAAAATGTTGATAATTGAGAGAGTTATGATTTTTTGAAAATGTCTAGTTTTTGACTAAAAAATTTTTTTTCTCAAATTGCCTTCAACATTTTTGCAGGGTTTCAAGCTATCAAATTGCCATTTGGCACACTCAAAGAACGTGAAAACCCCTTCATAACACGGTGCAACAAAATAAGGCCAAGTTCTTCTCCAAAAATGAAATTAATACCATTTATAGATTTTTTCATGCTGAATTCAACAGTTCTGGACAAAAAAATGTTGAAATTGTGAATTTGGTTGAAAATATAATTTTTCCAAAAATTCAAACTAAATGCAATGTAATTCAAATTGAATGAGAAAAAATAACAGAATATCGTTAAAGAATCATTTCATCTGTTATAATAAACCGTCTCCAATTCCGTGACGTGATTTCGCTGTAAAAAATCCTGAAATTCATAAATTTGTTTGAACTATCTGTTGATTAAGTGAAGTCGCGGAATTTGGCTTCGTATATATTTTTATCCCTCTGGAAAATAATTTAACGGTCACGTGGTTATCTCCGCATTGGCTCAAGGTTATGAAAATTGACTCTGAGAAATTTTTCAAATAAATTTCTCTGTTGGAAGTGATATTAACAGACTTTCAAAAGAAAAATTGTCAATTGGGGAACTATCGTTGGAAGACTGATGCGTTTCATATGAGGTATTTCCTTTCTATCACTCCACTCGCCTCTGCCGTTTGATCCTTGTGAACGCTCCACACCTCACCCCCATTTAACCTTTGTAATCACTTCACTTATCCCTCTTATTTGATCGTTGTGCTCTTTCCACTTCTCTTCCCCATTTGACCCTAGTAATTGCTCTCGTCGCCTTTCCGATTTGGCTTCAATCCTCTGGCAGGAGTTTACTAAAATATTCGAGATTTATAAGGTGTCGACAAAGTCAATTTTTGAATCAATTTTTTTTTCTCGGAAAACGAAGATAAATGAGTCAGGAGAATAAATACGTTAAGAGAATCTTAAAATACACTTAACGCTCTAGAGCCTGACTCTTGGGTTTTATTTGATGAAATGCATGTGGACGTACTCGTTTTTTATAAAAAAAATTATGTCTAAACCGTGATTTACTGTAATTTCTTGAGTAACAAAATAAATTAAGTGCTTAAAAAAAATTAGGTTGATGAAAATTGTATTCAGGAGAAGAGAAAAGTAAGGAATCGGAGCTCGTAGCCCTGAAGAAATCCGATCAATTAGCCCCTCATGTATAGATATTCCAAATTTTTTTTTTCTCATTGAAGTGGTTTTGAAGAAAATTGCGAGCTAATAAAAAACATTTGCTAGTTAATACTTTTTTTGAAATAAATTTTTGAAAAATCACCCCTGAAAAAAAAGGCGTTATCCCCCCTATTTCATTATTTCCAAAAAATTTTATCACCAATCGGTAGCAAATTGTTTGAAGATTTTTGCGAGTTAAGAAAAAATCGTCAATGCACTCCTATTATTGTGTAAATTAACAATTCCAATTTCAACTGAAAACCAGAGTTGATGACCAGAGTTTGTAGCAGAGATGTCAGACAAGATATGAATGTTTTTTTGGGCTCAAATGAAAGAGCGGGTCGAGAAATGGCGTGCTAGAGCCTCTAAACATGACAAATGTCTCTAAAGATGATGTCTGTTTTCAATTGAAAAGCAGAGTTGTGACATCATTGTCTAGGAGGACAATGGGGTCTAGGAGTATGTATAGAACATTGGGGTCTAGGAGTCTCCCCTGGTTCAAAACCATCTTTAGAGGTCCTAGCACGCCATTTCTCGACCCGCTCTTTCGTTTGAGCCCAAAAAAACATTCATATCTTGTCTGACATCTTTGCTACAAACTCGGGTCTTCAACTCGGGTTTTCAATTGAAGGCCCGAGTTGTAGACCCGAGTTTGTAGCAGCGATGTCAGACAAGATATGAATGTTTTTTTGGGCTCAAATGAAAGAGCGGGTCGAGAAATGACGTACTAGGG